GCAGGAATTTTGTCCACCAGTCTTCTCAGAAGAGGGAAAAGCAGTTTTTAAGTATATAACCAGGCTTTACATTTTTGCAGTCATAGTATTCTGAAGTGGGTTTTCTGAATTTCATTTTGTGAATGCGTGAAATAATACCTTCTTAGAGGATGAGGGAAAATTGAAGTGGAAAATATATAGGTGTTTGAGAAATCACTGGATTTATACTGAAGCCAAGCTGAAGATTTTTCTTTCAGTGAAATCGTAAAATGCTTTCCTGGAAGAAGCAAGAAGAAACTGCCAGCAATGCTGTGCAGGGAAATTGAATTCTGAGTGGCGTGGCATACCTCTCTGCATTGGTGTGAATGAGAACAAGAGTGAATAGAGCAGGAAGGAAAAAAAAAATGGAGGAACAGCAAAATAGCCATGGAATGTCCAACCAAAAGAGAGCCTGAAAATGCAGCTTGAATGCATCCCACTTACATTTTTTAATTTAGATACTAGGTTTGTAGGGGCCTTAAAATATCTTAGGTGCGTAAGTTTTACAACTGGCATCAATCTCAGAATTAGAGTGAAGGAGAAATTATATATTTAGTGTATGTAGTTGATTATTTACAAGCAAGTACCTTTTATTTTCTGGATACCTTCTGTGATACAGTTAGTTTGGGTAGATTGAACTTTTCATTGTGGTTAAAAGTTCTTTCCTCTTCTTGAATAACTAAAAGACAGTTGACTGATTTTACTGGACTTCAGGCAACAGACTGATTACCATCACCCAGGCTTTTTTAGGCTTCAGGCTTTCAGCTTGAAGATCCTCTTCCTGACTTATTCCTGGGCACCAGAAAACAAGTTAATGGTTGAAGTTAAGTACCCTGGTTGGAATTAGGCTTTACTACAGCTCCTTAATGCATGGTGATACTTTCAGTGTTATTATAAATCCCATTAACTTGTCCTTTGGCAGTAGCTTTTAGAGGGAAGAAAAGTGAACAAAATTGACAACTGTAAGGCTTTCTTTCAGGAAGGAGAATTTTGATCTATATGACACAGACCATCAGGTCCTTTCAGTCTGTCCCATCTTTTTTGAGGAAAAAATATTTCTTTGAGAACCAAAGACATTCCCTCCGAGTGGAATTTCCCAGTTTTCTCGTGGTTGTCTTAATCTGGAAATAGCATTTGGGAATCTTTGAGTATGTCTGAACTATGAATTAACTACAGGTCTACCCTGCCGTTCAGTTCTTCATTCTCTTGCATCTGTTCTGCCTACACACAGATTTTTCACCACTTCAGCTTCCTAACTTTTTGTGACCAAACCCAAACACAGCCTGAGTTTTCACAGGAGGTGAATCTGTGCTCACTTGTTGCCACTTGCCCACAGGAGAGATGGAGAGATGGCCATGCTGGGTGTGCTGCAGCCCAAACTCACAGGGTCAGAGGGCTCTGGCTGCCTTAACACTTGGCTTATTTTGAACTTCCTGGGCAGAGAGGGTGCTACAGTCAGCTTTTGGAACCAGCTTACCAGAAGTGTTGAGAAAAAAATACTCCCCATGCTTCACTCACTGTTCTGTGAGACATCCTGCCTGTCTGGCATAGAAGAAACAATTTCTAAAGCACTTTGTGAAGATGGATCAGCTTTTCATTTTCTGAGCTATTTTGTTATCTGTATGAGTTTTGGAACAGACTGGATTTTGGTGTGAGACTAAAAGGCCAGTTCTGCTCCCCACCAGCATCTGCTATTTTGGTAACAGTCAAATCTTTAAAAGTTGTGCTCTGCTTGTTTAATTTTTGGGATAATTAACTTTGTTCAGCTCTCTCTTTGAAAGAAACAGTCGTTTTGAAATGATTATATCAAAAAGAAGATAAAACAATCTTAAAGAACCATGAGTCACAGTGCATGCTTTTAACTGTTTAAATGGATAATGGACCATTTTCTGTCCCTGAAGCTCTAAAATTTCATGCAAATCATCATGCAGGTGTCTTACCAGAGCTTACATAGAAGATATGGTAATGAGGCTTGCTATACAACCTCTGGACATATTCCATAACCTCATGGGCCACATTTTGCAATGTTGTGACCTAAAATAATAGCAGCTTTACACTTGTCAGTGATGAAGTAATCTCACTTATGCACTAGATGGGGCTGCAGGATGGTTTCTATGTTTTTCTCTTTTTTTTTTTTTTTCTTTTTTTATGCACAGTTAGATGACTGACATCTCAGAATCAAGAAGCTGTATAAGTAGCATTCTTGAGGGTGCATATTTTTATTAGTATAACACGTGTGTATGAGTGGTTTTTGATAGATAACATTTTCATAACAGATTGTATCTACCTCTAATAAAGTGAAAATCAAAATACCAAAAGGCTTGTTTCCCCAAAAGGGAAAATCAGAAATTATTTCAAAGCAGAAAATAAGTTTAATGTACTCATTAACTAAAGCTTAAATATAGCTTATTTTAAAGAACAGGCCAGTTACAAAATAAAAACTCTGTCCAGTTCTTCAAGTAGAGACCCGTTTTGGAAAATATTTTAATAAAATAATTGAATTTTCCATTTTTTTAACAGTGAGCATTATCATTCATCTCTCTTGATCTGAATTTAATGAGCTGTAGATATCAAACAGGTTTATGGGAAAAATTAACAGCTGAAAGTGTCCAATAGAAAAACACTAAATCTTCTTCCATATCTGAGTGTCCCTCTGGAACATGCTGTCCTGCTGTAAGGGCTGTTGATCTGCACACACATTCCTTTCACAGAGCGGTACATGCACCAGAGGCTCACATCAGCTGCCCTTGGCTTTCCCTATTGCAGAACTGCTTCCTTGCCTTTTACGTCACGCAGCTCTTTCCTGCTTTGGCATCTTTTCTAAGATGTACTTAAGCTGTCCATAATTCAGTGGAGCTGCTGTTTGGTCTGCCCTTCTGTGTGGCTCCTACGGGTTCAGCTGGAGTGCTCTGCTGCTTTTGGCTCTGCTTCAGCTTGCTGGATTAGCTTCTGTTTCCAGTGTGGACAATAGATGTCTTTTTCTGTCTGCATGTTCTCACACAACAGAAAGAATGGATTGCAAGTGGCATGAATTGTGTGGACATTATAATCTTGCTTTATTAGTTGAGCTTGCATGTGTCACCCCTCCACTGCTAGTGGAAGGTGATGCTGCTCAGCTGCAGTCCAAGAGTAGGTAGGTTTGAATGTGCAAAATTCTTCAGCTCCTCCTAGTGGTGGTTATCTTTTATAGCCTAGCAGGCATCCTCAAAATTCATGGATCATAGTGTTTTATGAAGCACATGAGCCGGGTGATCTGCCTTCTGTTTTGGAACAATGGAGATAAAAAGCTGTAGGATGTGGTAAATTGATTGTAAAATGTCAGAGTAGCCTTTAGCATTCCACTGACAAGTCTTGGGCTTAGTCTGATAGACTGTTGTTGTTCTTCCAAACTAGATTTATATGTCCATGAAATAACACACATTAAAGCATAGTCGTTTTACTTTAAATTGTGTGTGACTTTCACTGATCTCTCCTTTTTATAGTTAAATAAACTGTTGGAAGCTAAAAGGCTGTGTGAAATCATTACTTAAAGATGGACTGTATGACCTGGCTTTGCTGGAACAGGGATGGCTTTTTGTCCTGAGGCCATAATGGTTACATGATTATAGGCTCATCTGTAATGACTGGGTTTTTCTTTTAAAGCAAATCAAGATGTTGTGGATGTTTTATAGGGGTATTTTGCAGTGCTGTAGTGTGTAGTGCTCGTTGCTGTGTTCCATGTTAACTCACATTGCTGTAATGTCAGGGCAACTTCCAGGAGTCCATCTTTCATTGTGACATACCTTGGTCAGTTGCTTCTTCTTGAATCTTCAAGGCAAGAAGTCTGTGCAGTGACATTTACTTTTAAAAATTTTATCAAAATACACATTCTAACTGTGCTTGAAAAAGTAAAACAGAACAAATGCATTTAAAAGGTTTGTTCTGGTAAGTGTTTCTGCACTGCACATTTGCCTCCTTATTTTAAGGGTAATACTGACAATACAATCACGACTCCCAGGTCTGGTGAGCATGGGTCTCGTTTCCAAACTTAACTCAGGAGACTTTGAAAACAATTTGTGGACTTTACTCCAAAACATTTCAGGAAGTAAAAGGGTATGTCCTTCCAGTGCAGAAGGACATCTCATCCATGCAAAATTCTTCCTTATAAAACTCTAACCTGGGAGACAGAAATGAGAAGTCCTGCTCACCCTTGCTCATAGCTTCTCTTCACAGCTACTGTAAAGGGAAGGGAAGAGGACAGAGGGAGCATGAAGCACTTGTCTTCTCTCTGGTTTGTTTGGGGCAAAGCATTTCTAGGAGTTACTTGCTGAGTTTTAACAGTGCAGAATTATCACAGAAGTCTTTTTGCTGCCTTTTATTAATGGCAATTTCAGTGTTTCAGAGAGTACCTGATGTGATATTATAAATACTAAATACATAGTATATAGTAATACTAATATTAAATACATATGTGTTGTAAGTAGGACAAAAGTTTGGTATTCTTGAAGTGAGTTGAATCCTTAGCTATTGTCCAGAGCCATTACAAAGTGTATCAAAAGTAGGGTTTATCTGCTAGAAATTGATCTGTTTGCCATCACTACAAAGAAATACTAGCAGAGCTGTTTCATGCATAAAACCACAAAATTACTATAGAAGGTTGGCCAATATTTTTCATGATTAGTGCTTGACAGTTTTTAAGTAGAAAGCTAAAAAAGTGCTTGTTGTAAGACAGTGCTTCTGAGATATCCAACCTGCATTACTGTTGCTGAAGTAAATCCATACTGAATTTTATATGTTGTGTAAAATCACTTTTCAGATATTAAAAAAAAAAAATCAGTTATTCTGAAAATTCCAAATATGATGTACTTATTCGTTTTATGCAGCACAGTTTCAAAACTGTGATACGGTAGTAGCCCAGGGTTCAGTCTACAGTCTTTTCTGTGCTTTTTCCTTTTGCAGTCCTTAACATATATTTGTGTTCAAGATCTGCAAACCTAGGATTTTGAACTGAGAGTTCAAAATTAGTTCAAAATTAGAGTGCCTACTAATTTAACTTCTTTTCTGTCACACAGGGTTCATTGTATCCTCTTAGGTGTCACATATTATCCACTTGTGATATTTTTAAAGAAATATAAATTGGTACTGCTAATTAAGGGAACTTAATATGAACTTCTGGCATGCTAATACTTTCTGGGTAGATACAGATAATGATTGTTTTATAACAATCAGGGAGAGCACACCCACTGTTTGGGTATTTTGCATTAGTAACTCTTGAGTTGAGGGGAAAGGGAGAGAATACATGTTACTGCCAAGTCTAACAGTTGAGACACTGACTTCAGAGAAGTATTAAATAGAAACTGGATCACAGAGAGCATTTCAGTATTTTATGCAATTACTATGTTATATGAAGGACATGTCTTTATGCATGGATGCTCTCTGTCTTCTCATTAAATATTTGATAAGTGTTTGGAAA